AGGGGGGAGGGGCCCGGGGCGCTGGTTCTGTCGGCCCGTGGCTGCTCGGTGAAGTGGAGCGAGGTAAACCAGTCCAGCTCCCCGTTCCGGCAGGCTGTCAGATAGTTCGGAGTCTGGTTTTTGTGTGTAAAATGGATGTTGATATTTTTTTGGGCTGGGTTGTCTTTGCCTTTTGGCGAGATCCTGTTAGTAGATCGGTTAGCAGCGGGTGCCTAGTCCTTAGGCCTTCCTGGGCGGTGTTTCATTTTTCCTTGTATCGCGAGTGAGCGTTCAGTAAGAGAGTTCGGATGCTTGTGGCATGGGGTGAATCATTTGCTCTGTATATATGTCTGTTGAGTTAACACCAGAGACTTTTTTTTCCCTTTTTCTTCCAAGAAGAAAGTACATCTCCCGAGCAGACCTGGTCGTCTCGTGTAGGGATGCGGTAGTGCCCGCGGGGTGCCTTCTGGGTCTTTGCATCCCTGCTCTTAGGGGCCTGTTACGTGTGAGCGGAACGAAAATGCCGCGTAACGACTTGAGCTCGGTTTTTAAAATTTTTCATGGAAAATCTAATGAGTGTAGACAGTATTGTAAGACAGCGATTTTGAAACGTTCTTTGTGGGGAAAAAAGCCATAAAGTTTTTATCGCTTTAACAAAACATAAGTTTGTTGGCCTCGCACAATTTTTGTCTGTTTCTGAGCGCTGCAGGTTAACCTCAACAAATTAATGTTTAGCCTTTGAGATTTTGTAAGGGGAAAATTGTACAACATGTGAATTGTTTGGGGCAGACAGTGTCCTGGTTTTTAATATTAAACCATATTGTCAGAAACCTGAATGTGAGCATTTTATTGACAACATGGTGACTTCAGGGTTCAAACTTGATGTATTATAGTGGATTTGAGGTAAATGTTACTGTCTTGTATATAGAGACTTGATTTATCCCTGTTATCTTGGGTTATAATGATCCAGTTTTATTATTTCAGTGGCATTAAACCTAAACGTGAACAGCTGAAAATTATGCCTTTGATTATCTTGAAATACAATAGATACTAGAAAGGGAAAGTGAAAAACCACGTGTAGCATTGCCGTTTATGTAAAAGGGAATGTATATATGCACAGAATATGTACGTGTGTGTATATATACATATAGGATGTTATCAGATATACATATGCATGAATGTATACCAAACATATGCATAGCACTTCTTTGGAAAGATATATAAGAAACTTGTTTACCGTGGTTGCCTCCAAGGAAGAGTATAGGGATAGTCACTAGTGGAAATGCGATTTGTCTTTCATACTGCTTAAATTTTTCCCATGAACAATTCCTTAATTTTAAAAAATAAATAATGATGTTAATTTATTTGAGATGGCTAGTTTTACTCTGGAAATTTCCATGGTGGTGGCAGGCAGTCTGTGAATTGATATCAAAGTCACCCAAGCCCCACTTCCAATAGAATCAGATACACTGGTGAGGTTCTGACATCCCACAGGCTTTGGGTATGTTGATTTGCAGAGAATGGCTAATTATAGAATTTTATTTCAGTTGTAAGAATTTTAAATTTAGAGAGAAACACACACATACATCAATTTGTTGTTCTACTTATTTATGCATTCATTGCTTGATTCTTGTATGTGCCTTGACCAAGGATCAAACCCACAACCTTGGCATATGGGGACGACGCTCCAACCAACTGAGCTACCCAGCCAGGGCCTCATTTGCTAAGAAAAGAAGGGCAGATAAGTGGGTAAAGTCTAATAAGTATTTCATGAACAGTGTTTTCTGTGGCTTGTCTTACAGGTACACCAGGGGTTGGAAAAACCACACTAGGCAAAGAACTTGCATCAAGATCGGGACTGAAATACATTAATGTGGGTGATTTAGCTCGAGAAGGTAAGGGACATTTTGGTGTTAAATTTGTTTTTAAAAAGAGAGATGGTGGAGTATTAGTATTATACTGTGAGAGGGTACAAAAAGCAGAGAAAGATTGGCATTAAGGAATTTTTACTCTGTTGGGGACCCATAAAAATTGAAGGTGTTAAGTAATTAAAGCTGTGTCCTGGTTATTTTGATCATTACATTGCCTCCCAATTGGCTAGCAGTTCTTGTGGATAGTAATAATTGGGAAGGCTTTCATGAAAAGATTAATCGGACTTAAGGATTTGTAGAGTCTGAATATGAGGAAGAGGGAGAATGTTTTGAGATAGGTGAACACAAAGGTTGAGGTGGTGCTAAGCATGTCTATGGAGACAGTGATTATATTGATATCACTGGAAGGAAAGATTATTCTGAACTCAGGCCGCAGGACATGACTGTCCTATGGGTTTTTTTTCCTAGCTTAATTTGATAGTTGCATGTCTGCACGAAACTGCACATATTCCAAAATGATACGTTTTTACTTATTTTACCCTGTTTCCCCTCAATCTTTATCACTTCGTTATTGTAGCTTCATCTTTTTATATTCTATAATGATTTGTGCTGGCTAGAAACTCAGTGAATTNTGATACGTTTTTACTTATTTTACCCTGTTTCCCCTCAATCTTTATCACTTCGTTATTGTAGCTTCATCTTTTTATATTCTATAATGATTTGTACTGGCTAGAAACTCAGTGAATTTAAGTAAAGGGAACTTTAAGTGTGCCTCATTAAAATTAAAAAGATTTTATAAATATTAACATTTTTAAAATTTAAATGTTTTTAAACATATGACATTTAAAAATTTTTAAGTTCCTGACAGTTGCTACTAAAGTAACTATTTCAGGTTTGATCTAATGTACATATTTTTTTCAAATGATCTAAAGTCTGATCACCGGATATCATGGAGTCTGGCAAGATGGCTTCTCCCAAGAGCATGCCGAAAGATGCACAGATGATGGCACAAATCCTGAAGGATATGGGGATTACAGAATATGAGCCGAGAGTTATAAATCAGATGTTGGAGTTTGCCTTCCGATATGTGACCACAATTCTAGATGATGCAAAAATTTATTCAAGCCATGCTAAGAAAGCTACTGTTGATGCAGATGATGTGCGATTGGCAATCCAGTGTCGTGCTGACCAGTCTTTTACCTCTCCTCCCCCAAGAGATTTTTTATTAGATATTGCAAGGCAAAGAAATCAAACCCCGTTGCCATTGATCAAGCCATATTCAGGTCCTAGATTGCCACCTGATAGATATTGTTTGACTGCTCCAAACTATAGACTTAAGTCTTTACAAAAAAAGGCATCTACTTCTGCAGGAAGAATAACAGTTCCACGGTTAAGTGTTGGTTCAGTTACCAGCAGACCAAGTACTCCCACACTTGGCACACCAACCCCACAAACCATGTCAGTTTCAACTAAAGTAGGGACTCCAATGTCCCTCACAGGGCAAAGGTTTACAGTACAGATGCCCACTTCACAGTCCCCAGCTGTAAAAGCATCAATTCCTGCAACATCAGCAGTTCAGAATGTTCTGATTAACCCATCATTGATTGGGTCCAAAAACATTCTTATCACCACTAACATGGTGTCATCACAAAATACTGCCAGTGAATCATCAAATGCAATGAAAAGAAAACGTGAAGATGATGATGATGACGATGACGATGACGATGACTATGATAATTTGTAATTAGTCTTGATGCATGTAACATGTATACTTGATCTTGAATCCGCTGTACTGAGATTAAACATGCATGCCAGATGTTTTCAAGTTGTGTTTTAGAAAACATAATAGTATTTAATGAGTAAATACAGTTACCATAGTTTTTAATTGAGATGTTGTATTTTCTTTAATAGAATTTATAATGGATTTTCATTAGCCTTTAAGTGTAAGAAATAAAGTTGTCATCAATTTGATTGTTGGTACTTTGGCAATTACATTTTTAGAAGCAATTTTACCCATTATCACCAACAGGAATACTAGTTGTAACAACTTCAGTTGTTGCAGTCTGTTCATGACGACTAGAGTGTCATCTCTAGTGTCTTCCGATGTTTAAATCATAGTATGATCTCCAGTATATGTCACTCTTACAGGCCAGTCTCTCATATTACTGAAGTATAACCATGTTTCCTTTTTGGAGAGAATACTTGGTCAGGATTTTTATTCATAGTGAATCCTCATCTGTTTGGACTTATCTTCCTCAATTGCCCAAGTTCTTCCTAGGTCCTATTTTTCAATACCTTTGGCTATATTTAAGGGCCCTGATGTGTCTCCCATTATCTCCTCACTTTAAATTTTTTCTAGTATCCCCTTTTCAGGTCAGTTTTTTGCATTTTTGCTTGCCATATATTCTTGATATAAGTCACTGTCATGCTCATATGTGTGTGTATATATATATTTTTAATCCTCACCCGAGGACATGCTTTTATTGATTTTAGAGAGAGAAACATCAGTGTGAGAGCAAAACATTGCTTGGTTGCCTCCCACATGCACCCTGACCCTGGATCAAACCCAAACCCGGGTATGTGCCCTGACTAGGAATTGAACCCGTGACCCTTTGGCATACAGGACGATGTTCCAACTGAGAGCCACACCGTCCATGGCTATCATGCTCATGTTTTTAATCCAGGTCTGGCATTTAAGTTATAGTTAGTTAAACTTAGGTCATTATTGGCTATTGTACATAGCTCGTAAGTCTCCATTTTATACCTCTATGAAATCTGGTTTTGTTTCTTTGCCTGTTGAACTTTACAGTTTTTGACAAGTGATTTGACTCACATACTGTAGTCATTTTCAGTCATGTCTTCCAGTTTAATCTCACCTATACAATTTAACATTGCTTAACATTTGGCAATTTCGGGAGACATTTTTGGTAGTCACAACTAGGGTTAGAGGAGTTGCTAGTGACATCTAATGGATAGTGATTCTGCTGAACCTCCCACAATTCACATCTTCCACTCCCATAAGAGAACTGCCAAACTCAAAATGTCAGTACTTGAAGTTGAGAAACTGCTATAAATAAGACTAAAGAAAAACAAACAAACTGGTTTTAAACAACTAAGTGGATGTTTATTGCCATCCTAATAATCACATTGAATTGCTCTATTACAGTTGGCCTTCACAGCATGGGTTTGAATTGCACGGGTCCCTTTATATGCGGATTTTTCAATTGACGTGCAGTTTGCATCCATGGTTGGGAATCCGCTTATGTGGAGGGCTGACTAGTATACATGGATTTTTTACTTTGTGGGAGGTTGGTCCCCTTAAACCCAGCATTGTTCAAGGGTCAACTGTAACTGACCATCTTTATGCCATTTAGAACCCTGGCAGGAAAAATCAGTTGGGAAATTAAGGTTTATGAAACTATTGAGAGTCTTAAACATTGTGTGACTAAGAATGCTTTCCTTATCCCTGTTCTTCCAGTCTCTCAGATTCCTCCTCACTTGATATCCTTTCCCATATGCAATCATTTAATTACATTTAGCATCCTTAATTTTCCTGCCACCAGTTTATCAGTCTGAAGCCTCTGTTCCTAACCCCAGGATGTCTGTACGTCCAGACAAAGTAATATTATGTTGATATTGGATCCATTTCAAATAGAGGTGGTAAAGCATAACTGGGCCCTCAATACTTATAATCTTGATCTGTTTCTAACCTAGTGGTTGGCAATCTGCTGCTGTTCTTATAGGAACCACTAACTAAAGATTAGCTCACAAAGCCTAAGTATTTACTATCTTGCCCTTTCCAAAAGTTTGCCATCCTCACTCTAACCTCTCATGTGTCCCATTTTTTCTCCTCCACTGGAAGACTTTGAAACTAACTTCTCCATTGGCTTCTCTAACACTGTCCTCTCCCTCCCACCATATACCTCTTTCCATGTTTCATTGCAGCCATCTTGTAATTTTGCCCCTCCCTCTAGTAATCTCACTCAGGAATAGTCACTCCCTTTTACTGATGACTCTTAAGTTTATAATTAACAGCCCAATTTCTAGACACTTAAATTTAGCCCTCTGGATCGTTCCCAGACACCTCCAAATTAGTGTGTGTAAAAAGCACATGCTCTAAAGTTATCCCTGACTCCTTGCCCACTCCCAATTCCTGTTCCCCCACAGATCCAAACACATTCATACTACACAGATCCAGTTGGCCTTTAAGTCTTGATGGTCTGTCTGAAAAATCCCTATGGCTACTATCCCATTCCTAAGACTTGGTGCTGTGTTCCTGTGGTACCCCTAGCCCATTCTCAAGACCTTTGTGCTGAATCTCCTACTCTTCAGTATCTCTTACCTTCCTCTTTTACACCATCATGTCCGTTATAATACAGGGAGTGGGAATAACATGACTTGAACTTTTTACTTGTAAAGTCCACCCTCCTTAATAAATTATAGGAGATTATGAACTGGCCCCAGTCTACCCTCAGCCTTACCTGCAGCCACTCTCCCCTAGGTCCTCTTCAGTTACCACAGTGAGCTATTGTTTCTCAAACACACTGGGAATTTTCCACCTTCATGTCTTTATATATGCCTTTCCCTTACCTGTAGATGCCCTTGTATGCCTTACAAACAACTCTAAAAAGCCCAACCCAAATGTCACATCTTTGGTGTTAACTACTCTAAGCAGAATTCATTGCTCGTTTCTCTACATAGAAGGCCAGGTGTCAACGTATTCAATCCTAAATCAATTAACATGTACTGATTGCATTATAGTTATAAGCTTCTTGGATTGAGATAAATATGTTTCTAAAGGAAAAAAATCTGGAAATGTCTTAAGTATAGGCAACAGCATCAAAATAGATAACTAGCATCCCAGTGTCTTCAAAAAACAGCTTTCAGGTATAAATTCTAAGATGGCAGTAAAGAAAACATGATTTTATAGTTTGACTAACAGCAGCTAGAGAGGCCGTCTAAGGTAAGAACTTAGCCTTTTAACTCTGGCTCCACAATTGATTTTTTTTCTGCAAGTAATATAACTTCAAATAAATTACAAATTTTGTTTAGAAAATATAATTTTCTAAGCTTTTGGTAATGTAAAGCAAGCCTCTCACCTGTGCTAGATTCAGATCCTGTGTATAGACAACTATAAATTTGATCTCAGATTGAAACTTTCTTAAGTAGTGTAAATTTTTCTGCTTTTTTGGGAAATTTGAAATGAAGTTTAGAATCCATCCATTTCTGTCCATTCCCTATAATACAGGTTATAATCATCACTTACTTAAAATTCTATAGGAACTTTGATACGGTATCCATGCTTCTGGAGATTCACTTCCAAATTGTTTTTACAAATCAAAATGAGTTTTAAAAATTGAAATTGACCACGTCATTTCATGCTTAAAATGCTTTCATGATTTTCCTTTGCCTTAGGCTAACGTCTAAACTCATTGCAGCCTTCAAGGCCCTTTTGACCTGGCCTCAGTTTACCTGACCCCTTACCACCTATTTCCTAACTATTCTGAAAGACTTTCCCTCCTTTAAAGTCTGCCCTCCCTAGTCTCTCTGCCTTTGAATATCTTGATTTCTCCTTTAAGAATAGTCTTCCCTACCT